TAGTTGGTACGGAGACCACATAAACAAGGATCAATCGATAACGATTGGGTTAACGGCATTGTAATGTAAAATTGTCTAGCACCGACGGTGATTCCTGTCCATTAGATGATGATTCCGGCATCGGCTACAGTCAATTGATCAACACTTGAGTCACATCTGGCGCGTCTCCACCTCCGGTTCATCTAAATTATGTTTCAACCTCCGTCAGAACAAGTTTCCACAGGTTCATGCAGGTCCAACAGATTAGTTTGGGGCGCACGAGCTCAGATAAGTTGTGCGATAAATCTCTCTTTTCTTCTATTTTACATTTCTTCAGAAATAATTGAGTAGCGAAAGAGTACAACCGTTCAATTCGATTTTTTCATTTGAATTTTATTTTTGTAGAAAATAAAGATTTCATTACGAGAAATTTTTTTTGAATCTTCAGGAACATGTCCCTCATGTTTGGAAATCTATCATCAATCATTGGTCACAGACGAGAATAACCCTGATGGTAAGTAAAATTTTTTTTTCTCTCGTCTACCCTTTCCGGTCTTTACGGTTTGTTCCCTTCTCACTCCCCAAACCCCTGTACCTCATTCGCCGAAGGACAAGGGAAAACCTCACTTGAGGGAAAAAGCTGCCCAGGTACAGTTGTCTCATGCGAGACCCCCACACGGAGAGAAATGTTCAGTAAAAATTACGGAACTCACAGTTCACTCACCGATTACGGAATCGACTCAGAAAATTTAAGTGACGGTATCGTAATTTTTCACAAGAGATTCAGGTAAAAATTACGGAACGCTCTGGAAAAATTCAGTGATTTTAGGTAACAATTACGTGACAGTTCCTACAACCACATTTCGCTCCGGAATTACGGAAAAGATACGTCATTTTTATTGAATATTTCTCTCCGTGCGCTCGACAAATGAAACTGTGAGATTTAGAGTGTCACAAAATGGGCAAAATCGTTCATTTAACACATGTAATTCAACCCTGCATCTACAATTGTGGGAATTAATCGCGTGCGTGTAATGCAAGAATGTGCAAATTCATGAATACTATAGTATACCTTCAATTTCTAAGAAGATCCTTTATTACGCGTTATTCACATCAGTCAGATTATTCAATCCAAATAAATGTATCTGTTTACATTTAATTTGAATCCTTCGTAAATTTAAATGACGAACGATCAAATGGTTTAGTCATGCCATTGGACCTTTCGTGTCAAGAATAATTCGTTTACTGATCTTAAAAATCCCTCGAATAAAAAGCTAAACAAATAAAAGCAAGGAATGCAATTATTTTTACGACGAGAGAGGACCATATGCAAGTACGAATTCCAGAGAATTGTGATGAGGGCACTCAGTAGGTGAATCGATTTAACGACGGGGATGAGAATCGTTACAATCGTTAAATAACGTTGCAACTGGTACGTTAATAGTCATTCATCTTCTCTCTTCTCTTATCCACAGTTAACTGATGCATTTTTTTTCTTTAGCGAGAGTTGAAATTCCATCCTTTCCAATTTCCATTTTTTAGTTGTTAGTACTTGTTTTGGTTTTTGTTCGGGGCAATCTCCTTCACTTCAATTCGTCCGCACGGTGCCTCTATACTCGTAAAAACTTGATTTACTGCCGCACAAAGGAATGAGGGGCGCATTTATGACATCACGAATGTTGTTCTGCGAGAGCTTTCAGAAAGCGACAACGCTGATGGCCGATTACTCATGCCAGTGATTTGAGAATGTGATACTCGTTGTCATTCATGAGAGTGCGAGTCAAATTTGAATCTCATTAACCGGATGATTGTTTTTTTTCAAGGGTGGTTGGTAAATAATAGATTCATGGACTTCCGCGCAGAGAGGAACGCTAAGGGGAGGTTATCCTGAGTTTTAGAAGGCGCGGGTTCTTCAAGTAAGGATCTGCGTACACAATGAAAAACAAGTGGGAAATTGCTCTCGTATTGTATACAGTATAGTTATTTTTACTAATAAATTAGCAATATGCTTCCGAATTGTTATTTTGCACATCATTTCCTTTTATGTATAATTCATTGTTCATTTCATTTGATTAAAGTGAATGAGATGTCCTTATCCCTAATTTTGTCAAATTTTCAATTTAGTTGAATATTATCAGCATCATTGTTCTTATTATTCCTTTTCTTCTACACAATCGATTATCTTTTTTACGGTTCTATCTCTCCCCTCAGCCCTTCGATAAAATGTTAATAGAAAAATTTTATTTACACGCACTTGAATAAATTTGAAACATCACATTTGAAGAAACCATTAGAAAGCTCACTTTCTACACCCGGTGGCTTCGCGCAGTGGGTAAGTTCGTTGCCTCACATGCGAAAGGTTCCGACCTCAAATCCCGGCCGGGGTAGAATGGTGCGATCTAACCATTTAAAGTCTTGATCATCATCGCAGTATACCCTAACCGGGTCGAGGCGATCGAAAATAATGATTAAAAAAAGCTCACTTTCAAGGAACTTCATCAAAAAATCAAAATTTCCAACAATCATGGTAAAAATCAAATCACTCAATATAGCTGTCGTAATAATCTTTTACGTTCGCCTCAATGGCATTAAAACAAACATTTTAAGCTGTGATTGAATTCATTTGAGGTATGATATTCAAAGATATCTCCGAAATTCTGATTTTCAAAAAATACAAAATTTTTGAAAATTTTCGAATAAATCAAAATAAGGATTGTTGCTATCGCCTTCATCTTCGAACTCGATCAAAGGGACATCCAAACAAATTGTGCAGGGATAGCCAAATTTGTAATATTTTATTACTATTACTTTTGAGCCCTTAAATTGAAAAAACATCAACCGTGTAATTTTCGAGTAAATAAATATCATCAATTCAAATATTCAAATTTTAAGTATTTCATCAATCACTAATTTAAGGTAGGAAGATTGACGATTACTTGTGTAATCGAAAATCGCCCTTTCCTAAAATTTGAATTATTCACTTAGTAATAAATTTACAGTTGCATATTAACAAATTTTAAATATTGCATTATTCGTAAAAATCAGATTATTAATATTATAATATTGGAAAAATTGAATCAACATATTTTAAACCTTCAATAATGTAAGGGCAAATTTGGGTAATATTACTGAAATCTAATATTGATGGGGATCCTTGAAATTGTGTAAGCCATCACATTCAATCAATTTGGAACATTTTTTTTAGTTGTCGTGGCACAACCGATTTTCGAAAGAATGCAAAAATAAAACAAGCAGGGGAGAGTGAGTGTATGACAGCATGCCATGTGACAGAGGTCATGTCGCTGAGTGATGTCTTATTTTTTTTTCGCCATCAATACATTGAGACCTATAATCTGTCCTCATTAAGACCTATAATCTGACAAAATTTCTGATTTTTTGGATATATCTTAGCCACTTAATTACTCAATTTTCTAAAAATTGACCATCGGAAAGGGGGCGGTGGACGTGGTCACATACGACATGGTTGCCAAACATTGATTCCTAGATTATTTCCTTGCCTTTCTGCTATCAATTATTCAATTAATTACTCTGCTGCACCCGAACGAATGATTGCCAGCATTTTTTTCGAAAAGGAAGAATCATAAAAATTCTTTCGAGTAATAATGAATGAGTTTCTAGAACAGATGTTCAACGATGAAATTAATTCTCCCCAGACGATATTGAACGATCAAATGGTTTAGGCCACAGTTCATGTAACTGTTCTATCATTATTGGCCTCGAGTTTGCAATGGAATGAGAATTATTCTAAACGCAGACGGCGTGCCGCTCTTCCATTAGTACTTGCAACCAGTTCAGACTGCTTTCAATAATCGCGTGTTCTCCCATGAATAATTGAACATCTGTAGGCTTTTTCATCCATTTTTATTATTATTTATTTTACACAGATTGCAGGACAAATATCGACTCATTTCGAAAATATATAAAACTTAATTTACTAACAATTCTTTCTTCTGTCATAAATTAAATTAATTACAAATGCAGAAATTTTGAGTTAGCACAATTACATTCAGTTAACATGCACCAATTTGTTCATTTTTATTATTCCTGAGCACGACAAAGGATTTTACATTGTTAGGGGAGAAAGCTCTCTTTGATATTATTTTTCTCGTATTTTTAGTGACAATTACTTATTCCTAGAAGTCCCCAAACGTCTCAGGATTAGTCCTTTCAGATCCACTGATTGAACAAAATAATTTGACACAATTTCCGCAGTGAAGTGGTAAAAGAAAATACGATCAGCCTGGAGTATGTCATTGTCTCGATGATAATAAAAAAAAATTTCAAGAAACTTTTTTTTTATTCAATCGAAAAACTGTGTCGTGACATTGTGACTATAAAATCACTTGTTTCCGAGATAATTGAATAATTAAGAATATAGTAGGAGTAAAATGTAACCATAGGAAAATGAGTATTCTTAAATCCTGAATCCATTAGTTTTTTCAGTCGAAATGGTGAAAATTTCCAATTCGAGAATGAATACACTTGATTTAAGAATATTCCCCTGAAATTCATTAATTGAGAACATTTCATCTTGTCATGAGAGATATTCTTTCAGAAATTAGAAATGTTTATGCTTAAACTAACAGGAAACATTCTTGAATCAAGTTTATTCTTTATTTCTGAGCAATTTTTCTCCAGCTATATATCAGTTTATCTCATTCTGTTATTTCAACTATCAAACTATCTGAAAAATTGTGCATTTTGGAGCAAAATGTTGTCAAACTGAATTTGTAAAACTTTAATGTCAAAATCGCGAGGCGAGCACCTGTAAATGCATTCGAACCTCTTCAAGGTGGTTCATATTTCTATATGATTGCTCATGAATATGTACGGGACTTCTCATTCAGCGCTTTCCCTCATGAGATAGTGTTAAATTTTATTAATTTTTGATTTTTGTTTTTGTTGAAATATTATTCAAAATTTGCAGGCGAACATCAGAGCTCCGATTTAAGTCTGATTTAACCCTGAATTTTATATTACCTAAACATTGAGATTCTGAATTTCATTTTTCTTTTTATACAATAATAAAACATTTTAGAAATGTCTACAAATAAATAGCGAATCCACTTCTCGAATAAGCCAAGCAAACCTACAAAATAAAATAAAATAATTGAAACACTGCGATTTCTAAAAAGTACGAACTTATGTAATAAATAATTGATAGAGAATCAATTTTCCACACTACGAATTTCTTTTTCGCATTTTTAACAAATTTGAATGTATTTAGAATTTGACCAGAAATCGATTTCAAAAGAACAAAAAAATTGTGAAGAATAATTTTTCTAAAAGGTTTAAAAATTCATATTAATAACTTATAAGTAATGCAATTTGTAATGAAATTTGTAATTTGTAAAATGTAATTTGAATTACGTTAATTATCCATATCTTCTTTCACGTAATTTAATTGACAAATTTAATGATTGAAATTCTTCGTATCCACCTCTACATATTACAGACAACTCATCACAATGATTCCTGTCCTTTCTATTCATCAAATTGAAAATCTCAATGGATCCAAGATGTTCCCTTAATCTCTCCGTCGCCCTCCATACGACAAAAATTATTAATTATAAATTTACATATCACTCCATGATTACAAAAATTAATTAATCTTTTTTTCATCAATAAGTGACACTTTCTTAGGGAATCCCAAAGGGGGTGCTGGTGAAGAATACAATCCTCACCAGCTCTTAGCGTGACCCAGGACCCACGACGAGGACGTGGCTGGTGAAGAGTCCCAAAAACCCTTATCGAGAATTAGTTAATAATATTATTGAACCGTAACATGTAGTGGTGTAACCAATTCTTGAAATCGCAAGGCATTTGGCACTGCCCAGGGTTCATGAGCCACACAATTATAAAAATCAATTGACAAAGTATTACTATTCCAGTTTGCCTCAAAATTATAAATTACCTTTTCCATGGGGAATTCCCCAACCAATTCCACTTCACGTAATCAAAAAAACCATCTCCCGAAATTTTCACAAAAAATAGACGTTATGTAAAACTAATTAGGGTCAAGTGGGGTAAAATGAACACTTTTGACTTTTTTGGAGATGTTAAAGACTTGTTCAATTTTAATGAAACGAGATATCTTCTTTCACAGAAAGTAAAATTCTTTCCCTCTGTGATGATCCTAGACTGAGCTCAATAGATAAATTTATTGAGTTATGAACATTGATAAAATGTCAGAAGTTTCCATTTAGCCCCACCCTCCCCTACATTTTACCACTCCACTCTAGAATTGCTCAATCAAAACATAAGCACGAATGATGAATTAATCAGAACGAGCGAGCCCAATTTGTTTTTCTAAATTTGACGCCGATATTGCATCAAGAAGAGACAAAAATAGATCGTTGTTGAAGAAAAATAAATTGATGATTGACGTTTGTAGATATAAATACTCTAATTAATGATTTTTACATGGAAGTATAATACTTCTTGTCTCTTCTCCATGCCCACATTACAATGAAAATATCAATTAGATTCTGTCGTAGGAGCATTCGAGCCTGGATAAATAAATTCTTATCTATTTATATTCCATTTTTTTGTGGGTTTTTCCTGTTTTCAGGTACGAATTTGGGATAAGACTGCATTAAAATTACGAACAATTATTTTGAATCTCATATAAGCTAGTTTATCTCACGATCTGTACAAGTAATTCATTTTTTTTATTCCTCTCATGTTTTCATACTTCCTTTACTTCCGTCGAAAAGCCGACGGAAGTGATCACTTTATGCACAATTGTTCCATTTTTTATGAATGATTATTATGATGAAAAATGACATACTCATGATTTTTCATTCTCTCTTTTCTTCACAAATACAAAACAAAAATACCTCGTGAAAATAATTGAATAAATGTGAGGTAGGTAGTGAATACATCGAGATCTGTGAGACTTCATATTGTGCTTTATAACAAACTACAAATACTCGATTGAGTAGATTATGTAGTCAAGGGGTGAAGAACAGGACATACTTTAACAATAGAGTGCTTTCATTTTTTGACACAGTTGATGTGATATAACATCTACTTCCATGATTACATCTTGAATTCTGTTCGATTTAATAATTTAAATTCGCTTTGCATAACATGCACGAAAGAATGTCAGAGAAAAAACTACCCAGTACACTTGAAAATTCTGGTAGTTTTTCGTCGATTTTATTGAAAATTTGCGCAGCTCTACTGCGCGTTTTTTTAGTCGAAAATCTCCAATAGAAACTGTTTCATAGAAAAAATCAGTAGAATCTCATGTTTCCGTTGAAACATTTTCTATAGAAATTCTTCGACATAAATTTTCCAAGTTTTCTTCACTCCATTCTTTTTCCACTTATTTGCAAAATCAACCCAAAAAAAAGTTTGAAAGAAAAAATTTGAACCAATAAATTTTTATAGAAAACGCCTCAATACAATTTGCTGTATAAAAAAAAGGAATTCGATTGATTTTCTCCATAAAAATTTCTCAGTAGAATCAGCTAAAAATGAATCGTGTTCTAACAATTTCGCCAAGTCTTTCTGTAAAATTTTTTATGGATGAATTTAATTTTCCAAATGTTCATTTGTATGTATGCAATTGACAGGTAAAATTTACGCACATCAAATCCAAGAGAAACAAAATGAGAATGTGGGAATTGCAATGCCTGTGGACAAGATCTTAATACAAAATATCATTCAGTTGAAAATGAAGGAACTCAATTGTGTGTAATAGATCATTCAGTTGAGTAGAACTTTTTGCAAGTGATGAAATACTCCGCAAAAAATTCTCTCGCTTTTTCCTTGAACCCACTCCATCTTTAAAAGATCTCATAAGTAATAAAAATGCAGGAAAAAATCTCAAGGAACTGTTTCTGGAGCCGAGACTATTTTCCACAAAAAATTTCTAATTGTATATTTCCCGGAGCGTCGCATGTCCAGTTCTTCACCTCTGATTCTTTGTGGATTATGCATCATACGAATTTAAAAAAATAAAAGTATTCTATCGTATTTTCCATCATTCGGCGATTGACAATTTCTATCCGATATAGCAAATAATAATGTTAAATGACATTGTAAAGATAATTATCGAGATGATATCTCCTATAAATGTACAGATAAATATTGAAATAATATCTTCTACTGATGGGAGAATCTTAAATTGAGCAAAGTTAAATTATGCGACTAGAATTGAGAAATTCAAAATTTTCAATCTTCTTATTATGTCTTGGCTTTTTGAGGGAAATTTTGTTGATTCATTTAATGATTAAATTTGTTTAATTGGAGAACTATTCTTCAACTTTCGAAAGGGGTAACTTTCACTATGAAATTTGATTTTTCCTTCTTCATTTAGTTATTTACAATTTTTACATGTATATATTACTCAATAATTTGGCGAATTAAATACTGAAGAGTTCTCATCAATCAAGTATTACAATTATCCAACAAATTATCATTCTTCCTTCCTCTCGATTGTTTAATATAAAAATCAACAAAAAAAGTTGACGTAGTGTTCCAATTTCTCCACTCATTAACTTAGAATTTCTCGCAATACCGTTTGGTATTGTTATTAGTTTAAAATAATAGTTAAATGACAGTTTAAAGCCCTTTGTCACATTCAGCGATTATATGTACATGATAATCACCTCAAGCTAATGACACTTCATTAATTAAGTTTCTAAATGCCATCGATAACAAAGAACAATGTTTTAAGGATAATTTAAAAGTTTCGTTGAATGCTTGTCGACCTCATTGACAAGTCTTTTTAAAAGAATTCATGAATAATTCAATAATTGCTAGATTTATCTATAATAAAGTAAAATAAGTAAAGAATTTTGTATAATTTTGAAACACCATGATTCATTTGCTCTCATTTCCGAGAGTTCAATCAATCCTGAAGTGAAGTAGTAAAACGTAATAAACGAAATGAGACGTTTTAAATTGTGAATTTATGGAACAAAAGGGCACGATACTTTTCTGTAGATAAAGAAATTTCCTACTAAAACTATCACCCATCATTTTCGTAAAATCAGTAGCAAAGTGGTAAAACGGTACAAGTCAATTTTGACCATTGACCAGTTTTCAATGAATATCTCGGAACCTAAGAGAGATGGCAAAGTTTTTGTTATAACGTTTTTTATAGAGCCGTTTGAGAGCTACAACAAAGGTGATTACGGAAATTTCGCTATCTCCCTTGAATTCGGAAATATTCCTCAAAAACTCAACTGGGAAATAAGTCGACTTGAACCGTCTTACCATTTCACTACTGAAATCACTCATTAGTAGAATAATTAAACATCGATTTCCTGCGTTTTACTACTTCACTAATGAATTGTCAATTCTTTGAACACCATCTGATCCTCAAAGATACATTCAATGGTTCTTCAACAAAATTCGTATTTTCCAAAAGAGAAAAAAAACCTTTTGAGCACTCAAAGTCCTAAAAAATCCTCATGATTACTTCTTTTTTCAACAATAAAACTATAAAATAAATAGTATAAAAAATTATTTCAACAAATTTCGGAGTATGAACAGTGTACTGAGCTCAGATCAAAAGCAGGGAATTTCGAAATTATCGAGTGGATTAATTTTAATATTCGTTATCTACAAAATTTCATGATGGAAAGGAGCAAACGAACCCCTTTCTTTCTTCATTGTCAATAATTCCAAACCTGCTGAGGCGAATTCAAAACTCTTCATGTCATTTGTAAGCATATTTATCGTCCTTATAATTGAAATAAAATTCATTGAATTCTCATCGTTGCTCAGGAAAAATTGACGATCAATAAAGATGTATTCAGTATTGAAGCAGAACAACATGCATGGATTTCACTTCAAGATTCATTTTTATCGAGCTTCCGAAGAATTAAACATCAATAAGAAAATTTAATTCAAGAATAAAAGTTCAATTCGCTTTTTTACGAAAAGGTTATCACAAAAAAATCGTTATCCCTCTCAGATCGACAACAGATGTATAAAAGAATTTAATTCTGTTGGAATTCTATTAAAAAATGCTGTTAGTGTACGGTCGACTCTCTATTGACGTTCTAAGGTTTTCCACTTCGTTTTTTCTTTTCTTATTAAAAAGTTCAAGCCAAATAGAATTTCCATGGAAATACTTTCAGCAGAATGAGTTGTACAGAAATGCTGTCAAATTCTGCTCATTTTTGCTGTACAATATTGAATATTTGTACAAAAACTCGTGGAAAAGCTGCGGAATTTCTCAATAGTTCTTCCAAAATTCGTCAAATTAATCGAACTTTCAAAAGCAGTCTAATAGAAATTCATTTTCCAGCGAATGTGCTTGGTTTTTTAAAGAAATTTTCCTCAGAATAAGTGAGATTACCTAATTTCATTTTCATTAGTAAAATATCGAAAAATCTAAAAGAGATGACTAGCTTTTCGCAGAGGCTTTTTATGTAGATCTCCCTGTGATCTCCAAAGATTCCACCATCCCCCAAAAGCGTACCTCGAAGTGAAATCAACAGATTGTATCCACACCTTCAAAACTCCATCTTGCCCCTTTCCCCAATTCCCAAAATAAAATTAATTTGATTCCTCTCCTTATTTTACTTCACCGCAAAATTAATATTTCCCTATATCTCTCACAGGCCATCATTACCAACTGCCGTCACTAACAGTCAACCGATGCAGAGCCTTAATATGATCCTCCCCCAAATTAGGTGGGCCAAATAAAAACTCTTGTCGACTATCAGGATCATTAAGCAGTTGCATCATATCATCGGAACTAAGTACAAGTGAGTGTATGGAGCTGTGTGTGAGATTAACTTTTCCAGCCACTGTACCTGTTATATGAACATCATCGATCCAAAAATATGGCTGTCTTTGTGCCTCGCGGTACAGTAAAAATACAGAATCAGGTGAATACAGTATAGCCCAACCAGCGCAGTAAGCTGGATAATGTCTACCGGGATATTCCTGGGGTGATACACGCCATTTGGAACGCCACGAGCGTTTAACTGTTGCTGTTGATAGTGGATCACAAAGAATGAGACGTCTTGCGCCCCATGGGGATAGGCCGCGCTTTAAAAAATCTACCATTGCTGGAATGTTAACGAATACATCGTCGTCTAGTTTCAATATATATTTGGCACCTGAAATCAAAAGAGCAAAATTCATTCAATAAATTCCATCACTGATAATCAAATCCGTAATGAATGTGTGACATGAAGTTTTTCCATTTTTTTGGTAAAATGTTGTAAGGTGAATGTCCCAGCAGCTGAATTTGATTTAGAAGAGGATAAATCATAAAATTTGGAATTTCAGTGATTCATTCAGTAGTGAAGTGGTAAAAACGTCCAAGTCAATTTTGACTATTGACCAGTTTTCAATGAATATCTCGAAATCTAAGGGAGATAGCAACAATTTTTTATGACCTTTTTTGTAGAGCCGATCGAGAGCTATAACAAATGTAATTATGAAAATTTCGTTATCTCCCTTAGATTCGGAAATATTCCTCAAAAACTCAACTGGGAGATAAGTCGACTTGAACCGTTTTATCACTTCGCTACTGCATTATTTCACTCGGATGTCAGCGAATCATAGATCAGTATTATAGATAGACAGATAGATACATACGTTATTAAAGTAAAACAGAAAGATCATAATATACAATATTACAATGTCACAATCTAAACATATTACAATTAAACAAAGACAATTTAGAACTAGTCTTCAAGAAAGCCACTGTGAATTCGATTTAGAGGAGAATAAATCATGAACCTTGAAACTTGACTGATTATTTGTTCTCTGCGCATGTGAGTCAATCAAAGCATGAATGTTTCGTACCAAATTACGCACGATTTTCAATGAATTGAAAATTCAAGAATATATTTTCCTGATTTCTCATAATTTTCATGAATTAATTGAACCGGAATACACAATTTCAATTGGTTTATTTCATCAAATCATCAATTTTTAATTGCGGAATTCCTTGAAATTCCAGTAGAACTGTTGCGTGGTAAAAATTTCCAAGAAGTGTAGCTGAAACTTCAGCCGAAAATTTGATTTTCGTGAATCATTTTATTGAAAGGTTGTAATGTTACAAAATTACAATTTTCCAATAATTTTATAAAACGTCCTCAACAAGTCGGACTTCCCAATTTTTTCGGATTTAAAAATATTTCCTAACGCCCGAAATGGAGAATCAAATTTACTCCTTCAGCGTTGAAATAATAAAATTCTTGCAAAATGTACGGTAACTTGGGACAAAATAAGGCTCCAATGGAAGCTCTGATGTTCAACTACAAATATTGAGATAATGTTAACGACAAGAAATCGCAAACGTACGTGACTTTCCTTAAAACATACTTCGAAGAAAAGAAATGAAACGGTTTTCTCCAGGGAGTTCCCACTAATAATTTTAAAATAGGTTGAATTGGAATGGAGACTATTTGCCATTAACAATTGATGAGCAACACATTGTCTCCCCCAGAAATATTTGTTGAAAGTATCGCGGAATCGATACCATAATACAAAGAACGAGGTCACCACATGTATAAATAATATTTTTTTCGTCCATTCATGAAGAATGTGGTTTTAATGACAAAGAGCGTTTGAAAAATACAATTTGAATTTCAATGATGGACTCGTCACTCCGAATATCTCACCTATTGCAACTCTGTGATATTAATATTATTATTTAATAGAACTAAACTAGAACCCAAAATATTCGATGTTCTGGGACATTTATAATTGTAGTAGAGTGTTAATAAAATTTGGCTGAATTTTCCGGAAAAAGACCTTGAATTCGATTTAAGTTTATAATAGAGGGGCAGAGGGTCGAAAAAATGGAAACATGTGACAGAATATTTGAATGTCCCCTTAATATTCGAGCTTTTAGTGGAAGTGTTATGGCTTGGGCAGATGTGAAATCACAGAAGTGGAGCCAGTGATATGACGAATGCTAATTCGAATATTTCTCAGGTCGTTCATAATGAAATTTGATAATAACAAATCTACAAAATGACAGATGGCACGTGGGTTATCCCAACAATGCTTTCCAGGAATATCACTGCATTCCGTTCGTATCACTCAACTCTGCATACAATAGATTCCACGAAGAGAGCAACCAGAAAGGCAATAAATAAATAAATGAGCATGTCGGGAAGCACGTAAACCTGATTGAGCATAATTGCGCTCCAACATCTGATCGTGCCAAAAAACGAAATGAGATAATAAATTTCACTGACGAGTTTGGTCGCGCCAAATGTTCGATGTTACCAAATATGGAGTTGGAAGTGCAATTCAGAGAGTTAATAGCGGTCCAGATACAGAGAAACTGTTTGAAAATGGCTATTGTTTCGGGATATACCTCAACGAGAAAAATCAACAATTCAGTAGCGAAGCAGATAGCAAAATTTTTCTCATGACCTTTTTTATAACCCTCAATTGGCTCTACAGAAAAGGTCCTGACAATAATTTTGCTCTCTCTTTTACATTCGCAGATATTCGTCAAAAACTGGCCAATAGTAAAAATCGAATTAACCCAGTTTGCCGCTTCGCTGCTGAATTGAATAAAAAATGATTATATATGATTGTAATGATTCTAAAAAAAATGAAAATCGATTGAATTTTTCAGTGGAATTGTTTCGTGCGTAAAGAGAGAAACATTAAAAGCTCATAACCATAAACTCCTAAATTTAGGCCACAACAATACACAACTCGATAAATGTCTTCCGTTCCATGAAATATTAAAGAATAAACACTTACTTGGACAGTGATATGTGGCCCACTTCAATGCCATCACATGCTTATAGGTCATATTTCTATATGCATCAAGGAAATTGCCTTGAATAATATCACCATACTTTCTATCCTCCTCAATAATATCACCTCTGTATTGATCAGTGACTCCAATGAAAAATAGTACAATCATCTCAGACGTATGTTTTCCCCACGTTTCACGTACAACGTGACGTTTTGCATAATTACCAGGTGCTGAGTGTATCAGTGTTAGTAATAATGGTTGTGTTCTATTGCACGGATCATGATTGATGATGAATCGAAAATTTGTCATATCAATCAGTGTCGTTTCATCGCTGGACGGAAGTTCGTTCAGTGAGTATGGCTGGGGTAATGCCGATACATTGTCCGGTACTAGAAGTGTGTAGCCAGGTACTGGTACCTGGGCTGGTATTGCTGTTAGGGTGCCTGGTGCACCGGTTAACATCCATATTGACAGGAAACAGAAGACAGTTAGGGTTACTGCAAATGTTAAGGTGCATGGCGACGACCCGTGGCCATGGAGCCGTCGCTTATCCAACATGCTAGCAACACCCTTTCATCCTACTTCGTATCACTCCTGTAAAAAAATCATTCATTTTTTAGAACAAGCTACGCGTTATTTATTTGAGCTTCTATTGCTGACCTTGACTTTTCCTCGTCCGGGGATTGGTATTAGCCCTTCCCCAAACTCGTAAAAGTGAAAATCACTGCGGAGAAATATTGTTCGAGCTGTTGCTATAGGGGGTACCCCACGAGTATAAAAACCTCATAACGACAGGCCGGAAATGTACTATTTCATCACACTGACCGTAAAACTGCCGTTTACGGACATTGTGGAGAAATAGTATATTTCGATACGAAAAGATGGAATTTCCACGAGTGTGAAATTGGCGGAGCCTAGGGCTGCCAATCACACGCACTGAAAATTCCCGTCCCACATGTGTCAAACAATATTTTTTGACAGTGATGTTATGTTCAGTGAGTGGCCGAACTGTGCCTTCTTTGTTTACAAGTAAATGAAGAAACTTTTCGTTTACTCGTCGACGAAAAGGCATTTTTCGGCACTCGCTGAACATAAAAATTATGTTCGTCACTCGGTTGGAAGCAACTTTCCTAACTCGTGTAGTATGCTGCAAAACTTTGTAATAGAATCGGCGAACAACCAAGGTTTTAATAGACATTCAACAGAAATGCAATAGAATTTTCTAGCGAATTCGCTCGGTTTTCTATTAAAGTTTTTCAGACGTGAATTGATATTAAAAAATTTCTTATTCTACAATTTTATGAAATAGAACATATTTAATTCAGCCACGCGATTCCATGCATTGGGGAATCTCGACGAAAAGTATATGATTATGAATAAACGTGACGTAATGGTGCAAAATATTTTAATAGAATCGGCGAAGAGATGATAGCGTTTTCTGGGTTTTCTATTAGATTTTTCATTACTGTCCGTAAAACATCGTTTACAAACAAACAACAAATGTCGACAAATGCCGTTTATTACGAACATCGTGAAGAAAAATTATGTTCCTCACTCGGCCGAAAACTAACTTTTCTGACTCGAGCGATTGTATTCCTCGGCTTCGTCTCGGGCCGCCAACTTCACACTCGTAAAAACCCGTCTCACTCGTATCGAAATATACTATTTTTCTTAGTGCAGTAAAATTTGCCACGATTTTCTACGTAATTTTGATCCAGCTTCTCTCTCCGTGTATTGAAAAGTTCAGCAGGTTTTCTGCGGTTTTTTCAACATAAAAATTATTGGGAAAATTTTATTAACAATTGACTTTGAATTTTCTACACAACTCATTCTGTCAAGATATTTTCTATGAAAATGCCTTGGCATGGATGTTCTAATTTTTCTTCAGTACATTTTTTAACTTAAAAAATTCAAGCAAAAAACTCGGGAAATTCTACTGTGCCGATCTCAATAAAGTAGGTTGTATAACAAAATGAAAATTCATAAACTTTTTCTATGCCTTCTGGCACCAGCGATAATTCAATCGAGGAATTATAAAACTCATTTGAAAACTGGCAAATTATATAAGGATATGCCAGACTTGATTCTGCCACATGCGAAAGCGACAGATCGAACAAGGCTTAAAATACCTGAGCAATACCTGCAAAAACTGCAATGTTAAGATTACATAGTAAACACTACATGTAGATAAGGTATCAAGACGACACACAAAGGTAAATACTGCTGTAGAAATGATAACCACCCATAAATTGCATAAATCATACGTAATTATATGTAAATCGTATGTAAATCATACGTAACATTTCCATAATTTGAACAAAAAAAAAACATTTTCTGGTTTCAGTTTACAACAGCGGCCGCAAATATTAAAATTTTAATTTTTAATTTTTTAAAAATTCATATACCATCCGCGAATTTTCATATTCTGGGCCTTTTCGGGGTTCATACCAGCTGCGTCTATGTTGCGAACCTAACGCTGAACGCTGGTGCGGCTAGATATATATCGATATATGTATATACATACACGCATTACTACTATTATTTTCAATTTAACCCCTCAAGTAAGGCACCCATATCGCGCGGTGTGTCCTCATCAGCCGGCGGCCTCCCGTCTACTCGAATTCGCTGTTTAATACGCGACAATTTCTACACTAATGATCAAAAAATTATCATCTAAAAGTTAATGATAATCTTGAGTTTTCACCAATAAGTTGCGCAATTACGGTATTCCTTTATACAGATTTCTCTGGAATTTTCAAGACTAATCCCAGGTCAATAGTACAAACAGTTGCCAAGATCGGCGACTGTCGGAAATTTGTTAATAACAAATCAGTAGTTAATGGATTCGCAATTTCGTTTGCGCCATTTGAGAAAGGAATGTACAGAGTATGTTCGGTAAAAATTTCAGAATTTTTAATGAAAATTAGCTCGATAAACGAGAGGATTGAATATGATGCCTCTGACATCGACTTCAGTTCCGTATGGCTTATGTATTGAAGAAAAATATTTAAAATAACTTGAAAAAAAAATCGAGTCACATTGTGTTGATAATTTTATCTATTTCATGGGGAAATACATTAGTACGAAATACATTAGTACGAAAAATTTGAAAGATTTGTGTTGAATCAATTTACTTGTGGATAAAAAAGAAAGTTTCCACCACAACATGATAATTTTCGTCGTAGTAATTGTTCTCGTACATTTATATGTCTTTCGGGTAAATACATTCGTTATATAAGGCTTCAGTTTTATCACGCGAATGTCATTGAGTAGTGTATATCTTTGTCCAATAACCACTTATAATTGCCATGGAACAAATGATAATTTGAAGAGGAAATTGAAATTTTATTGCGGAAAGCTGTGTTATTGGCAAAACTAAATAATTTCGAGGAGACAATTTTTTTTTAGGAAAAAAATATTCTTCTCTTGTCAATGTATTCTTTCTGTGGTATAAACCTATGAAGTTGTCTCAGATCCAATGATTGCCGTACAATAGTTTATATTTTTTCCTGCCAACCACGTAAGAAAAAAATTCAATAGAAAACCTAGCGAATTCGCTAGAAAATTCTAGTGGATTTCTGTAGGAATTCTATGGGGTTTCTATGGAATTTCTGTTCGAATTTTTCTCTTGAGATTTTTTCTATTAGAATTATTGGCGGCAAATTTTCCAAGTTTTTTGTGTTGTTTTGTATTCTAAAATCCCAGTGGAAAAATCTTAGTCAATTGATGCCCAAGCATTCTTATAGAAAAAATCTCACGAGGAAAATTCAAACAGAAATTCGAAATCTATTCACTTTTTCGAATCGAATATCCAATAGAATCAGTGCAAAAAACAAATAGAATTGTTCAATAGAATTCCAATAGAATTTTCTAGCGAATTCGCTAGGTTTTCTATCGAGTTTTTTCATGCGTGACAGTTCGAATTCTTCTAGGGATATAAATATAGTTGTTCACACTGATAGAAAGGATTAGTTATTAGTTAACCCAAGGGATTAGTTAGTAGGATTAGTTATTAATTATTGTTAACGAATGGATTTGTTTGGAGACGAGGGTCTATTCGGTCTCACCAAATGTTCATTCGTTAATGGTTAACAAATGCACATTTGAGGCGCCTTGTTTGACTCGATTTGCACTTTTCAAGTGAACTATTCGTTATTAGTTAACAAATCTCGTTTGGGATAAATGAATTAGTCTATCAGTGCAGCAGAGCTAATTTTTTCTCTCAGTGTGCTAGGTCTTCACGTAAACTTCATTTGTACGGGGAAAATAAAGGCCACTTGCAGCCATTCCCGTCAGCTGTTCAATTTCAGGAATAAATTTATTCCTGTGTACACCTTATGGGTTAACTGGTCGTTAACCGACGGTTTAGTTAACTGAGCTGACGCAGCCGGGCCGTAGTGTCTTTTACGAGAATCTAATGCATATTTTAACTGAATAACGATCCACTTGGGAAATTTACGAGTTAGGTTACAGCTATTTTAACCATCCGAGTATGTCATTTTCTTCAATAAATGAAGGAATACATTTCTGGACACAAGAACATTCACAGTTGCACCAAACGAGGGTTCTTAACTGTTGCCGCGATTCGTTAATACACTGAGAGAAAAACCTGAAGTTCGATTTACTATAAGAAGATAGTTGAGGCAGTTTTGGTGAACGATACGATTTTTTTTGTATGCGGCACATAACATTATAGCAACTTCACAAGCGTAATTTTTGCAAATCAAAATGCAGTTAAACTCACCAAAGTTCAAAAGTAACCACGACAAATTTATCGTGAGCAGAACTATAAAATAGTAGCAATGACTACATTCCATTGTAGTAATCACTTCTCCGGCCATAGTTACTGTAACCCATGTGAAATTGTTGAGGACTTTTTGACTATAGTGCGATGGTGATGGAATATAGTCAGAAGAATCATATTTTTCTCTCAGTGTTGTTTGACTCGATTTGCACTTTTCAAGTGAACCATTCGTTAACTATTAACAAATATTCATTTGGTCACACTCAATTCTACCATTCGTTAATAGTTAACGAATCTCGTTTGGAATAAATGAATTCAGTAACGAAGTGGTAAAACGGTTTAAGTCGACTTATCTCCCAGTTGAGTTTTTGAGGAATATTTCCGAACCTAAGGGAGATAGCGAAATGTTCATAATCACATTTGTTGTAGCTCTCAATCGGCTCTACTGGCCAATAGTCAAAATTGACTTGTACCGGTTTACCACTTCGCTACTCAATTAGTCTACACGGAGAGAAATGTTCAGTGNAATTCTACCATTCGTTAATAGTTAACGAATCTCGTTTGGAATAAATGAATTCAGTAACGAAGTGGTAAAACGGTTTAAGTCGACTTATCTCCCAGTTGAGTTTTTGAGGAATATTTCCGAACCTAAGGGAGATAGCGAAATGTTCATAATCACATTTGTTGTAGCTCTCAATCGGCTCTACAAAAAATGTTATAACAAAAAGTTTGCTATCTCCCTTAAACTTCGAGATATTCATTGAAAACTGGCCAATAGTCAAAATTGACTTGTACCGGTTTACCACTTCGCTACTCAATTAGTCTACACGGAGAGAAATGTTCAGTGAAA